CAGAAATGTGACAGAGCCTGCTGACAATCCAAGCGGATTGGCGGCAGAAACCGAGCAAACTCTGTTGCGAGACAAGATCTGCGCGGTTTCTGCTACCAATTTTCTTGCATTACCTGTCAGCAGACTCTGACGCCAAAACACGAGCCGAATGCGAACATAGATGGTTTTGGTACGGAGTTCTCATAAAATTTGCTGCCAATCTGCACGCATTTTGCTATCAATTTGCTGAGACAAAATCCATATATGAACTTTTTCTCCGGATATAATTATTTCTGTAGGGACGCGTCCCGATTGTCGCGCTTACTCGCACACTAATTTGTAAGACGAATTGACGAGTGAGATCAACTTCTTCATTTCGATATTCGCCGTAATGACGTTGATGAAGAGGATGACCACTTGTCTCATCTCCGTGAGGTGCTCTAGCGGCTCGTCCATCTCCACGGATCGTATTACTGGCCTAAGCATATAGCTCTTAAGCGAATCCTTCACTCGCATTTTAGCCACCTTTACGATCTTCGGTCTCACTGTGCCGTTATAACGTTATGTTAACATTAATGTTAAAATCAACTGTTAAATACATTTTACACATTTTAGATTTTTTACACATTTTACTCTAATATAAACAATAGATATTTTAGAATTTAACGTTAGGTGACTCACCCTGTATATTAATTATATATTAAGTATATGTGATTAATTTTATAACAAACATTATTAATTGATACATTGAAATAACACGTTGATTTTAAAATAGGAACAAAGTTCTCAAATATTACTGTGACAGTCGTGTTAAGAAAAGCAATCAGTAATTTGGAACAGAGATCGGGACACGTATCATAAAACTTATCGGAATCGATTCCGATCGGAATAATTCCGTTTCCTCTAGAAAAGACAATAGAAATCTAGGAAATAATTGAATGTTTCCGATCGGAATTGATTCCGAAAAGTTCCATAATACGTGTCCGGAAATGGATTGTTCAAAGAGAGGCACGCGAACTTCGCGTGCCTCTCTTCTCACTCATTAGAACTTACGGCTGTAATCGACTTGCTCAAACATGCGAATTTTCAAGGTATCACCGGTCAGGTTCATTAACGCTGCTTCAGCTTCTGTGCTCGGCACGTCATCATCGGACGATGTCAAGTGGCTGGTGCTTCTGTCATCGCGCAACTGTTTGGCGTCGTTTTTATCTGATAAGTGTATTTTTATAAGTTAGTTTTTAGTCCTCAAAATTAAAAATCCTTTGTTTATGTAATACATCAAACACTCTTCATGAGTAATTTGTTTTGCAATTTTACTTGTAACTCCAAATTTCTTTTTAAATGGAGAAAATTAGATACTCGAGAGTT